CCTATAAAACCTACCTTTTCAGGGATCCTTACTATGATTTTTTGATATAAGTCCGTAAAAAGGTAGGATATTTTGGGTTACGGTAGGGCTTTAACCGGGGCGTTCCGGCTTTGGGTCTTTAGGGTTTGGGAGAGTTTCGGAATTCCAGATTCTCGTCGCACTAATCTCGAACCCCAACTTTCGGTTTAGAGGTCCCGCAACCTCCCTAAACCCTGTAAAACCCTAAACCCTCTTGAGGTTTGGGGTTTAGGGTAAGCCCCGTAAACCCTAAACCGTCTTAAGGTTTAATTACCATAGCCCAGGTGCGCACCATTGCCATGGATGGTACAGATGGCCTGACCCGCGGTCAGTTAGTAGAGGACACCGGTGCCCCCATCACGGCAGCTTCGTCAGCAGGGAGAGTTTGACGCGTTTGTTGCTCAGCGAGATCCCATGTAGATGGAAGGATGTGTTGGTACGTCTTTTAGGAACTTCCCAGGCCGAAATTGTTTCGCAAAACATTGCCAGTGACAGAGGTTCGGAGTGTTGGGGTCGGGGGCTTCGGATTCACTTTAGGGTTTAGGCTTCCACTGTGGGGTTTTGGGGATTCATCGAAGTCTCGTGGGTTTGGTTTAGGGTTTGAGGTTCAGGGTTTAGGGGTTTAGGGGTTTAGGGGTTTAGGGGTTTAGGGGTTTAGGGGTTTAGGGTTTAGGGGTTTAGGGGTTTAGGGGGTCTTCGGGATATAATGCGGGCAGAACCTCAGGTGCCGGTGGGTGAGCAGACGCTGGGCCGGATCATTAACATCATCGGCGAGCCCATTGACGAGCTCGGCCCCATCGATACCAAGAAGCTCCTCACCTTGCAGTGCTGGGTTTTTAGGGTTTAGGGTTTAGGGTTGTGTCTCTCCCAAAGGATACAAAAGAAGTGCCCTGCCAACTAGAAAGCCTTCCTTTCGGAAGCAAGCCTTAACTAAATTAATGGGGGCCTAAATAGTTGCCTATCTTATTCGCTAGGGTTCCTGAAAAAATATACTATGAAGGAGCCCAAAACCCTATTCTAGTTATTTAAGGACCCTACATGAGGAGGATTTAGGAGGATAGCTTCCTCTTATCCATCTGGGGGGAAGGTCAGGTCCAGAGAGCAGGGCTCAAGTCGTCAATAGGGTTTTGGGCTGCTTCATAGTAGTAATATAATAAGGAACCCTAAGGAATAATATAGGTAATTGTTTAGGCCCCTATATTGGTCGTGAACCCTACTTTAAAGTCAACTGCTTCACTTAGTTTAGTTTATGTACGGACTGGGCTTGCAAAGCTTCCCGATGCTGCTGCTTAAAACCTATAGAAGCTTTGGACATGTTCATGGCGGCGATTGGGTGTGAAGGCCCCACAGTGCAAAAGGCAAGTATGATGCGTTCAGACAAGCACAACTAAACCCTAAACCCTAAACCCTAGACCCTAAAACTATACTGGTGCACTATGACATTCGGCCGCACCCTGGCATCACGAAGCTCCAGCACGTTGAAGACATGCGCCTCTTCGGGTCACAGATTCTTTCGGGTCCTGCTAAGGACAAACTTGTCAAGGTTGTTTTGGTGCAGGTTTTCGGGAGTTGGGCTCTGGTCTCGTGGGCTTTACAATTTTGGGCCTTTTGGGGGGCGTTTGGTGTTCAAGCTTGTTGCAGATCACGTGCCGGCCTTTGAAGACATGAAGCACCAGGGTGAACAGGTTAGTTGTCTGGGGTCTGCCAGGATTGCATTTTTGAAAACTCTGTTGTGGATTCAGGTTGTGTTTCTCCAAACCCAGCTGCAAGATGTTCTAACATGCAACTTCAAGAAAATCAAAAAGCCATGTTGCAGAGCACCATGACATGTGTTCGAAGCCGTATGCAGTACAGGTTAAATTAAAGTCTGCACGCAGCATGAACCGGACGGCTTCAGTGGTTCCATCACGCAACCTTTGTTTGCAGACCCGCTGTAAGGTTCTACGCCATTCACAGGCATGGCCCAGCTGATGGTTTTGGGATTTAGGTTCTATGTAGTTTACTCAGGTGATTCGGGCTAAGGGTTTGGAGTGGGGTTTAGGGTAACTTTTTGAGGTGTTCCTTAGTATAATTCTACTATAGGTTCCTTATTATTATAATTCGACGATAATGGGCCCCAAAACCCTAAACCCTAAACCCCATTCTAAATTCTAAGTAGTAAGGTCCCTACAGTATCTTATGAGTAAAGCGGCCTGGTTCTTTTCTTCTCGGGTCCTCGTCTGCTTGGGCTTATGGGATCTTCTTAACCCCGAAACAACCTCTCCTAAACCCTGACATCGGAGTTTCAGAACACAAGGCCCGATATGTGATCATGTGGGGGCTTCCGAAAAAAAGGGGACCCGAAAATAGAGTACCCTAAATAGTAGGATCCTTATTATAAGGACGTAAGGTACCCCTTACGTTCGGAAACTGCCATATACCCTAATGAATGAGGCACATGAGGAACCTGGGAGTTTTTTTTCCGGATTCCGCTTCATCAGCTCATCATGCACGGTTTAGGGTTGAGGGTTTGGGGTTAGGGCTTTAGGGTTTAGGGTTTAGGGTGAATCTGCTCCTTCGAGCTTTCGCACCCACTCATTTTAGGTGCCTGAATGATTAGGGCAGGCTTCTTGGATTTATTGCAGCACACTTCTGCAAGGCAACATGAGGACTACAGAGCGATAGTGTGTTTGGGCATTCATACCTCCATCTCAAAGCGTCAGACGTCTACGCCCAAAACATCCTAAACTTGGCCCTAAACCTTTCATCATCGCTGAACCCTAAACCCCAAATCTCGAAGGAATGGTATCTTGACGTTTGAATGCAGGCCTACGCCGACGTTCACAGAAATGAACACGACGGCACAGCAGCTTCTCACTGGTATCAAGGTTGTGGACCTGCCACTGGGCATAAACCTCGGATTCGATGAGGGTTTCTAAGGGGGAGTTTCCGAAAATGAGGGTTTGGGTTTAGGGGTAATTACCTTATTTTGTTGTCCTTATAGGGATTCTACTGTTTCGGATACCACATTAGGGTCCCCTGTTTTTCGGAAATCAACAAAGGGGTTCTAAAAGGGCTACTGTAGGGTTCTAGAACGTAGGGTTTACGGATTTTGTGCGCGCAGTTTTTTCCTGGTAGGATTTAGGGGTGTAGGCTTTATCTGGGTGCACATAAACAATATTGAAGCGGCTGATATGGGGGCCGCAGCAAGTTGTGACGCTGTAAATGCGATACAATGCAGACGTACATCCCTGCCCCGAGACTACGTTACCAGAGTACCCGAGCATCAGTGTTTGGGCTGCTAGATTGGAAAGTGATGCTGTTGCATGGAATGAGAGTGTTCAGTTGGGCTGCTCGGGGCTAGGAGGAGTTGGTGTCGAGTTTAGGTACAAAAGCCCGGGCTCTTAACTCTAACGTTCTAAAACCTCAAAAATGACAGGTGTTCGTGTTTGGGGATTTAGGGTTTAGGGCTGTTGAAGCAGTAGGGTGCACCGACGTCGACCCTGGCATGTACATCTCGTCCTCACGTTGTTCTACCTGCGGCTTCCTTTTCGGCTGCCCTTGCCTACCTACAGTAGAAGCCCCAAAATTGGAAACCCAATAGCCTCAATCCCTAAGAGTAATGTATAAGCTAGTTGTCCTTAGTCCGGTTTCCAACTTTTTGTGGTTTACCGTATTTATGGAAACAGCCCTCAACGGCGGCTGTAGCTCCCAACCCCGAGCTGTGAAACTTCAAGCCCGCTAGAGCGATCCCCCACCCTTCAAAGAAACACCCTGACTACGCCCTAAGCCCTTTAGTTGCTGTAGCTGAGCTTAAAAGGGTTTAGGGTTTAGGGTTTAGGGCAAACTCTACAAGCCCCAAATCCCTATATACCCTAAACTCCCCACCTCTAGTTTCAATAACAATCCCCCACATCCTAGGTTGGCGCCCTACGCCAAGGGAGGCCTCCGGCTTTCAATGTCGGTTCGAGCAAAAAAAGCGAGCTAAGTAATTACCTATACTAGTTTGGGGGGGGGAGGTTCTTTAAAGGGTTCCTTGAAGGGTTCTTTAAGGGCTACTATACGGGCTTAGGGTGTAGGGGGCTCAATAATTACCTATACTAGTTTTGGGGTTCCTTATGGTACTTGTAGCATTATGTACCCCAAAGCCGTATTCCAATTATAGAGGCTTCTACATGAATGCTTCCGGCAACTCCATTCCCAAACCTAAATCCAAACTGAACCTGTTTCCCTCAATCGCTATAGACACAGTATAGTTTTAAGCATAATACCAATATGAATATACAGACGATCTCTAGAAAGGCCAGCTCCCAAACCCGACTTGTTGATCCTCAAACCCTCAATCTCTACTCAGAGCCCGAGGTCTTGTTCCTGAAGCTCCGAGTTTTGCTTCTTCGAAAGGTTTAGGGTTTAGGGTTTAGGGTTAAAGAGCCAGCAATCCAGACACTAAGCCACCTGAGCAGCTCGGCCCACCCAAGCCAGGGATTGTTTGAAAGCCTAAGCTGACTAAGCAAGGGTTTACTGTATCCTGCAAATGGGAGGCCCGGTTTACGACCTACAGACCTGCAGGTTAGAGCTCGGGGGCTGTGATAGGTGGGATACGGCTGCTAGATCGCGTGAATCAAACATAGCTGCCTGCATCGCCAGGAAAGATCGGGCTGTTCGGCGGTGCCGGTGTGGGCAAGACGGTGTATGCCCTGGCATTTGCACTAAACGAAGACTGCTGATTTATAGACCGTGCTCGCTTCTGCATAGGTAGGGATCTGAGCAGTCAAGCTCTTGCATTCGGTGCCTCCCTTCTAACCGAGTTCGCCCAAACCTTTCTTGATAGACTTAGGTTGTTATCATGGAGCTGATCCACAACATTGCGCTCAAGTGGCATGGCAGCACAAATGACATGTGCATGTGATTGCCGTGAAATATTAAGGCTCATGGTTGCTTGCCGCAACGGACAGGACTTTACGCAACTAGCTCCCAACCTACTGAGACCCAGACTCTAAATACGGAGCATAAAGCAGCCTTGACCTTGAGACAACATAGCCACGTATGCAAGTTGACAGGCACGGTGGCTACAGCGTCTTCGCTGGAGTGGGTGGGGTCCTCAGCTAGCTCATTCTCATGATTCGGGAGGTCGAGGGCAGCTGTCCTAAAAGCCCCTCCTGGTTCTAATGATGTTTGAGCTAGCGAAGCCGTTCATCCCTTAGTAGTAAGGTTTAGGGTTTAGGGTTTGGGGTAAATCCTAAACCCGGAATCCACAGCTGGTAGCTGCCTGCTACCCTGTGCTCGATGAGTGGATGGCCGACCCTTTTGGAGTGTCTGAGGCCTCTGCAGAGTGTACTTCACGGGTTTCGGGAGTCTTGAGGGGTCTTCCCTAAACCCTAAACCCTGAACCCTTGGTCTTTAAAAGAGAGGAAAAGAAGAGAAAGGTGCAGTAAAAACAAATCCTCGTGCTGATTTGAAGCCTTGGGACAGCTTCAAGAAAAGCCCGGGCTGCAAGCTTCAACATCAAAGAATTGCTTTTTGAGGGACTGGGGGGATGCTTGAAACTCCTTCCTGTCCTTGTGGGCCGGGTTAGGGTGTAGTGGCCGCGAGGTGAGCGCACTCGTGAGGGCAACGACCTGTATCACGAGATGATGGCCAGTGGTGTCATCAAGAGCCTTGGCACTGGCTAGCCTGATGCAGTTTGAGCAGAATCACAGTCGCCTGTTAGTACTCTATGATACATCTTCGCCCGTAAACTCGGTATATACATGGTGTTTGCACTCTTGCTTGGTAGCACTGTCTCAACACTCGCGACTCCATTGATATTCAGCACCCAAAAAAGAATCTTAAGCCGCGAAAGCTTCGAATAAGAAACAACAATACGGTCCGTGGCTTTCTCAGCCTTTAAAGCCCTGTGTACCCGACAAGCCACATACACATGATCTACCCTAAACCCTAAACCCTAAACATTCATCAGGGTTTAGGGAGCGGGGTGTACCCTCCAGAGCTTTGGTTTAGGTGCTGCTTGCGGCCTCTAAGCAGAGTTTCAGACAATGACGACCGAGATGTCGACCCAAAATCATTGGATCTTACCACGAACCCCAAAGTAAGGGAAGCCTAATTAAAACTCAGAGCCCCTATAAAACCCGACACACCCATGCAAAAACTCTAAACCCTAAACCCTAAACCCTAAAACCTAAACCCTAAACCCTAAACCCTAAACCCTAAAACCTAAACCCTAAACCCTAAACCCTAAACCCTGAGCCTCAGAATTCCCCTGATGAGCCCAGGAAGGACAAGGCGCCGGGCTCCAAGGCCAGCACATTCTGCATTCAACTTCTTGGGGTTTAGGGTTTAGGGTTTAGAGTTTAGGGTTTAGGGTTTAGGGTTATGGGTTTAGGGTTTAGGGTTATGGGGTGGGGCCCGGGTTGTGGGTGTACGGTTTGGTGTTTTGGGCTACGGGTTCGGGGTTTAAGAGTTTGGTGTTTCAGGCTAAGGGTTTAGGGTTTTAGAGTTGAGGTTTAGGGTTTTGGAGTTTTAAGGTTTAGGGTTTATGGGTTTAGAGTTTGTGGTTTAAGATTTTTGGAGCGGTTTGTAAAACAGGTTGATGATTGCTCTATCAGGGGGTTTAGCGCCCAAGGGTTTGGGGTTTGTAAGGGTTGAGTGTTCTAGAAGCAGCTTCTATAGCGTTTCTGTATTCTATAAAAAATACTGTAGCTTAGTTCCCCAATACCCAACCTTTAAACTTTTTGGGTTCTTATAATCTAGTAGCAATTTGACAGTTTAACCTTTATTTCCCTGGCTTATCGGGGAAGTTAGTTAGAGGGGACGACACGTCCAATCAAACCCCAAAGCCTCACTTCCATCAACCCCCGACCCAAACCCCAACAGGTCCTAAACCCTAACCCAAAACCCCTAAACCCATAAACCCTAAAACCCAAAACAACCCTAAACCCTTAAACCAAAAACCCTAAGTCCCCAAAACCCTAAACACCTAAACCCCTTTATCCCTAAACCCCTCAACCCCTAAACCTCTAAACCCATAAACCCTAAAACCCTAAACACCTAAACCCCTAAACCCAAAAAACCCTAAACCCCTAAACCCCTAAACCCCTAAAGCCCTAGACCCCTCAACCCCTAAACCTCTAAACCCCTAAACCCATAAACCCTAAAACCCTAAAGCCCTAAATCCCTAAACCCCTAAACCCCTGAACCGTAGCTTGAAAGCGGGAAGCTCCCAGCTCCAAAGGACCCCCAAGGCCTGAGCCTAAACCCTCAGTCACGTCGCCCCCGAGACGAATCCCTAAATCCAGGGTTTAGGGTTTAGGGTTATGGGTAGTTCTCTAAATTAGGGTCCTTTTTTAGGTCCCAAACATAGTACGGCACCCTTCTAAAAAGGACCCCAAAAGGNNCCCTAATTTAGAGACCTACCCACATGAAAAACCCTGAAGCCATTACAAACCCCTAAAGTCTATAGAGAGCCCCGAAAGTCTATAAGTCTATAAATATAGAGACACCTAACCCTCAAATCCGAAGGAATCTTACGAATCCCTGATCTCTACAGAGACCCTAATGAACCCAGAAATTCTCAAGATCCACCCTAAACCCTAAACC